ATGAAAGAAGTTTAAACATAAATAATCTATTCGACACTCTTCTACATTCTGCAAGTTTATTGACCATATGCTATTGTAAATAACCAAACTATGAAAAGAATGAATTAAAAATGAAATAAGATTACTTTCACTTTTGGGTCAATATTAAACTATTACTCTATAAAATATTTATTTTTCTAAATACGCGAAACGATACCGAACGTGCTTTTGCTAGTATATATTAACGAGAAGTTAAGAAAGAGATTACAAAATTAATATGGCTTGTTGATAGTGTGGTACTAGAGATGAACAAGAGAGAAGCCTTGTGTTTGTGTTCAATCCATAATTTATTATAAAAATACATATAATTACGGTCTGGCTTACGAACTGACCAATTGGATTTACGGGCCGGATGCCCTACGTAGGTCACTCTCCCTCACGAACAGACCATGGAATCCGTAGGGAACCCGCCGCGGCAGCCTTACCGCAGCCACAATCTCGAGCTCCGGCGACTGAGCGTCCATCACCACAAACCTGGACTCCCCATTGATCTCGTCGTGAACGTACGTCACTAAGTACCCGTCGTCTTCATCCGCCTCCGAATTCCCCGGTTCCTTCGCCACGAAGAACGGTTCCCCGCCGTAGCAACCCTGCCCGAACATTCTACACGCGACCGCACTCTCTCTCCTCTTCCAACCCGCCATTTCGTCCCCTACGTCGAGTTTCACAACCCCCGATATCTTCGGGGTCAGGTCCCCGATTCCAGTGTAGACGAATCGGTTCTTCCTCCCCACGTAGCCCGGGTTAACCGACCCAAATTCCACATTCCGGGTCGAGACCGGGACCGAGACAACACCACAAATCCCCCCGACGAATGGGACCCCCTCCTCGTAGCACCATCCCACATGCAAACCAACGTCCCTTCCCCCACCAAAGCTGGTTGAGTTGGTGGAGAAACCCTGGATGGAGGGCCCCGATCCACAGGTAGCCCAACCCATTCCTCATACTGCTGACTGTACTGACGCATTAGCGCTGGGAAGTCGAACTGCTTGCCCTCAAACACAACCCAATTCCGAGAACGCCAGATTCGCCATAGGATAGCAATAACCGCCATGAGGACGGAGGGTTGGTTAATCAGATCCAACAACCGCTTCAGGAACAGGGGGAACGTGTGTTTCGGCAAGCCTTCCCCAAGGGAAGCCAGACCCGAATAATCCCAGAGTGCCTGAGCCACCGGACAGTAGAGGAACAAATGTTCCAGAATTTCCGACTCAGCCCAGCATACCGGACATCGAGGTAAAACTGGCACCCCCTTCTCAATAAGAGCTTCCGTTGTAGGCAGCATACGATTCAGAATTTGCCACACAAACACTTTCAACTTAGGGGGCAGGTTCGCCTCCCACAGTCTGATCCAGCTGGCCTTATCCATCCAACTAACCTCAGGCCTCCAGCCCCCCTTTCTTCTATCCATGGAGACTGCCAAATGATAGGCCGATTTCACAGTGAAAACGCCATGCCGGATTATAATGCCAAACCAGCTTATCCGCCACCGGTAACCGCGGGAGGGGAATCGACTTGATGGCCGCACAGGTCGGAGGATCAAACCATTGACTCAACTTTTGATTGCACCAACGGCCCCCATCGGGATCAAGCACCTCAGCCACCACCGGCCCGTCCACAACTGACAAGACCTGGGGATTATACCGGGGAGGATCGAGCTGGAACTGGGGAATCCAGTTCGAATGGATCAGAGAAGCCGATTGGCCATTCCCAATTTGCCACCGCAGGCCTGCCTCTAACAGTTGACGGCCATAGAGAATACTTTGCCACCCCTAAGAGGGACGGGAACGGGCCGTGGCCAACAGGAAGGACCCAGTCGGGAAATACTTCCCCTTATAAACCCGAGCGAGGAGAGAGTTGGGCTCCTGAAGGATCCTCCAACCAATCTTAGCCAGAAGAGCCTGGTTAAAATGCTCGAATCGACGAAATCCCATCCCCCCCTCATGTTTACTTCGGCACATATTCCTCCATGACTTCCATCGAATTTTCGGCTGACCTTCCTCAGCGCCCCCACCAGAACCGTGCCACATGTTTATCAAGCAAACGGCACAGAGAGAGGGGAAGCTTGAAACAGGACATCACATGCAATGGAAGAGCCAAGGCAATTGATTTAATAAGAGTTTCCTTCGCTGCCCAGGACAGTGTTTTCTGTTTCCACCCCTGCAAACGCTCCAGCAGCTTCTCCTCCAAATACCAGAAGGTTTCCATCTTAGACCGAGCAATTAGCGTAGGCAAACCCAAGTATTTATCATGAACCCCAACCGCCTCTACTCCCAGAATTGCAGCCAGAAATTCTTGGTCCGGCAGAACAATGTTTCTACTGAAGCACACTGCCGATTTCTCCAAGTTAATTCTCTGACCACTAAGTTCCTCATACTCATTCAAGACCTCGATTAGGTTCTCGCACTCCTGAAGTGACCCACACAAGAATAAGTATGAATCGTCCGCAAAGAATAGGTGGGATATCCGCGGCGCTTGTGGAGCAACCTTGATCCCTCCAAGCTTATTAACCGCAATAGCCTTACGAAGAAGCGCAGCAAACCCCTCCGTGCATAGAACAAACAAGAGCGGGGACAGGGGATCCCCCTGTCGGAGGCCTCTCGTGGGAGTGAAATAACCCGACGGGGTGCCATTCATTAAAACGGAAAAAGATGAGGATCGCAGGCACTCTTGTATCCAGCCCCGCCAGGTAGAGTTAAACCCCATTTTATCCAACACGGCAAGAAGAAAGGGCCATTCAACTCTATCATAGGCCTTTTCCATGTCAACCTTCAGAGCCATGTACCCTTTCTTCCCTCGCGTCTTAATTTTCAAATAGTGCATTAACTCATGCCTTAGCAAGATATTTTCAATGATTTGTCGGTCACGTATAAAAGCATTCTGACCCTCCGAGACTATCTGAGGTAAGAAGCCTGCCAGCCTCTCAGCCATGATCTTGGTAATGGTCTTATAAACAAACTGGCACAGACTGATAGGCCTTAATTGCCGCATGTTCTCCACAGACTCGACCTTGGGAATCAATGTAAGCCAGGTATGGTTGAAACTGCGGAGCATCTTACTAGTTTCAAAGAAAGAACAAACTGCTTCCACCACCGAGGCTCCCACAATGTCCCTGAAGGACTTGAAAAATTTCCCCGTGAAACCATCAGACCCAGGGGCCTGTTTCGATCCCATGGCAAAGATTGTCTTTCGAACCTCCCCAGGCAGGACCTCCGCCGTTAGGCTGGCATTCATCTCGGGGGTAACCGTGCGCTCTATGGGCAAGTCTGCCACTCTATCAGCCATGTTCAGGACTTGAGTCTCCGAGGTGAATAGATGCTGATAGAAATCAGTCGCAATGCCCGCCTTGCCCGGCTCGTCAGTGACCCACGCACCCTCGGCATTACGAAGTCCGGCCACAAAGTTCCTCTTACGACGCATCCTGGTCACTGTATGAAAATAAGAAGTATTCTTGTCTCCCTTCTTTAACCAATGAACCCTAGACTTCTGCTGCCAATAGAGCTCTTCTGCTACCCATTGCCGGGTTAACTCACTCTCCAGAACCTTGATTTTATCCCAATCAATTGGTTGGGAGAGTTTAATCGTTTCAATCTCATGCTGGAGAGTTTTTATATTTCGAAGGGAGTTAGTAGTGCCTGTCCTACTCCAATCATACAACAAATGACGGAGTCTCTTAAGGCGCTCCCATAAGCGAAACATTGGAGTCCCCTGGATTTCCTCCTGCCAGACATATTGGACCATGGCTCTAACTTCGAGATTCTCTGCCCAACGGGCATCAAACCGGAAAAGAGGCCGGCAATTACGCGCATAAGGTTTATCAGAGAGGAGGAGCGCACGATGATCGGACCCTTGATCTGTAAAATGTTTAACCACGGTATCAGGGAAGTGATCAATCCAGGCTTGCGAACATAGCGCTCTGTCGAGGCGTTCACGAATACAAGCTGAACCCATTCTCTTGTTCGTCCATGTAAATTGGTCCCCTTGATAACCAGGGTCATGAAGCCCCAGATCGGTAATAAACTCACGCAGGCTCGCGGACTGAGCCGCGTTCCAAGAGCTTCCCCCATCTTTCTCATTTTCATGAAGGATAGTGGTAAGATCACCAATGATCACGTAAGGGCTCTGGATATCCGCACAAACCTCACGAAGATGGGCCAATTGGGCCGATCTGGAAGCCGCATTACAACTAATGTAAACACACACCACAATATAAGCAAAATCCCCTTCATTAATTTGAACACAAATACAAAAATTGGAATGATAAAACACCGAAGCAACAACTTCGGGGGACCAAGCAACAACTAGACCTCCGGAAGCGTCAACCGCATCCATAAAAAAACAATTGGAAATATCAAAAGATAAACCCCGCATACGGCGAGAGACAATACGCCGGCTCGATCGAGTCTCCGAAAAAAACACGAGATCCGGTTTATTTGAACGCACTAACCCTACAGCAGTTTGGAATGTGAGGGATGGTCCAATTCCTCTCACATTCCAGGCCAGAAGCCTCATATCTCCAACTGGGGCCACTTTAGGCTGGCTTCCTCCACCTGATCCAGATTATCAGCATCCTCCACAAATTGTTTTTTGGGAGTGGGAGCATCCCCCAACTCCCCCTCCACTTCATCAATGAATCTTTTACGCGAACCAATATCTGGGTTCACTAGATTTGACCCATACTCATCCAACTCCGAAGGCTCGTCTTGGACCCTACCCTGGTCCTGGTGTTCAGACTCCGTCTCTCCCTCCTGGCCCTCCATGGCAGGCGTCTTCTCTGAGTTGATTGTAAGACCAGCCTCAAAGGCAGCCACAACCTGGCACACCCTTCCCTTAGACGTAGCACCCGGCCCAGTCTTTCTTTTGGAGGGAGCCCGTTTTTTAATTTCAAAACAATGGGTCTCGTCCTCTGACTCCGAATCCGCCGAGACCAGGGCTCGCACCTCCTCCTGTTGTGGGCCAGATCACCGAGTCGTCCTCTCCGGGCCCGCATCTTCCAGACCAGCAGAATGGGCCGGCCCACCCGCCTTGGCCATTCGCACTCCTCCCGCTGGTAAGGCAGCCCCCCCCCCCATTTCCAATCGGGCCTTACCCAGCCTATTCCCCCGCCCCACTTGGGCCTCCTGCTGCCTCTTTCGGCCCACCTCCTCATTTTGTAATGGGCCACACCCCACTACAGGGATGAGCCCGCCGCCCTCCGCTTCTTGCAATGGAACACTACTTCCATCTGGGTTTAGCCCGCCGCCCATAGAGGTAGGTGAGCTTTCCATTTTTTCCTTCCCCTTTCTCCCTTTCTTAGCAAGAGACTTCAGGTGCTGCGCAGGTTTTGCCTCACTCTCCCGCCGACCCCTCCCATCGTTAGTTCCAGGAAATTTGCAAGTACGTTTGCGTTCCACTTGCTTAGGGGCGGGGATTGCGTGAACAACAAATTCTTCTTCCGATTCATCTTCGAGAATAAGCCGACGGCGATGGGCTAGTTTAATTTCCTCTGCCCCGCACTCTCCCACCAGACTGGGAACAGGGGAACCCCCGCGATTACGTCTACTCCGACGCCCGGGTAAAATCTTCCCCTCCGCCATTGAAGCATCAGCACCATTCTTTTGACGGGGAGGCTTCAGTAGTCGCGGTGCCTTCTGGGGCAGCTCGTCAACTTCCATCGGACTGCCATCTTCCTCCTTCTTGATCTTGCCGTGTCGGCTTCGGCGGCTAATATTCATTTTTGCCACTTTTGTCATTGGGAAACGGATGGGGCTTCTCCCAGATGGTTTCCCCGGTTCCGTCGTCATAAAAGGTCTCGTCGAGTTCCCCATCCAGCGCGGACTGGTACCCTTCTCAGACTGAACCGCCACTGTTGGCTCCCTTTTATCCCCCTTCCCAGAGCCGAGCAGTTGCTGGGCATTCGCCATCCTCCCCTCCCGAGCATTATTATTGATCCAAACCGAATGCGAGTGCCTGCGAAATTGGTGGTCATCAGCATCATCTTCGAAGATCTTTCTCCCCATTTTCTTAGTGGACATGTGCGGGCCATATCTCTCCTGTCGTGTCGGAGGATCAAACGTACAGCCCTGCCGGTAATGTCCCACACGGCCGCAGTTATAACAGAAGCTTGGTAGATGTTCATATTTGAATCGAATCCAAAAACCCCCCGTCTCCTCATTAGTAGCCATGATTTGGGATCTCAGTGGCTTAGAGAAGTCCAGAAGGGTCTTAACTTTAACGAACTTTTGATTGGTGTCAGTGCAAGAGAACACCCCCGCCTCTAGAACGCGACCAAGGGTAGCCAAAGCTATTTTCCTGCCAAATTGCTGTGTACAGCAATCATCTTGCACTTCCCACATTTGGACACGGAACGGGGCCACTGCCAGTTCCTCGAATGTATGGTGCGAGACTTGTTGAGTCCAAGCTCTGACATTCAGGATTCTGTCATTAATGACCCATGGAGTTCTTTGAAGTACCCATGTCTTGTCCGCTTCAGTAGGAAGGACGAACTCAAACAGCCCATAAGCTATCTGCTTCACGATGATTCGTCCTACCCCCTGCCAAGGTCGATTAACAGCATCTCGGAGCTCAGCGGCGGACATCCCATCCTCCGCAAACAGGCGACCGATCAGAATCCTGGATCTGCATACACGAGCCGACCGGATTTCTTCCAAAGTGAACTTCACAACCTGATCATTGGTACCGAGCGCCATGGTATCTAGCTGCAAAACAGGCAGATCATCGGAGACTCTGTCACTCGGCATATACCAAAACAAGTTGGAAACCGACCAGGGGAAGCAAGTAGGTGGATAAAAAATTAAAGCTAATGGTGTAGCTTTCGACCAGGAGCCACCAAAAGGCCTCCTGATTAAGGATAACCACTCACCAGAGGCACTCCCACGCCGTAAGATGATTTCACCTCCGTTCCAAGCAAGAGTCTCCTTTTGCGTTGATGGCAGAAGAAGTTCTCTTCGGAGGCCATCTTTTAAATAGGATTCTGCCTCCGTGTTAGCCGACACCACGGGCTGGCATACTCGGAGTGGGAGTCTCTGGGACTTATCCGACCATAACAGAATTCGGAAAAAAACCCCATTAGTAAAGATACGGGGGGAGAGCAAATCGCCGCTCTCGTTCCTCAATTCCCGGAATCCACCACAACCGTTGCGGAATTCGCCCGTGCCCGGCAGAAATTCACCGGCCGGCCCGCCAGAATTGGCCGGGCTTGGGAGACGCCGGTCAAATCCGGTCGTCCAAGGAATAGGACGCCGGTTACCACCGGCCGCCCATTGATAACCCCGGTCAAATCCCTCCCTCTCCTGGAAAGCCTTTAATTTTCCCCTCCTTAATCTTTGACAGATGATTTCTCACTCGTTATAAGTCGAAATTTAATTTTTTTGCGCAATTAGATCAGATTAATTGTGCTCTTCAAAATGATATCCACTTTGATATATTTTTCGCACAAAAAAAATGAGTCATTTTTTACCAGTCTATACCATATGGTATTGACTGGTATTGAATTAAGAGCATACCTATGGTTTGAAAAACGTACCATGGTGGTATGAACAAACCAAGAGTGTAGGATGATTGAATACATGATAGTAGAAGTATATTAACTATCATTTACGATTTTTAACATTGTGTACCACAAGATACCACTCCGTACCAGGGTGGTATTGTATGCTATTGTGTGGTATTTTTTGGTCTTGTAATTTGTTCACTTAGAAATTTGTAGATCCAATAGATCATGATGAACTCGTTCCTTCTGTGCAAACGTTTTCAAAATCGAATTAAAAACGAAGAAGATAACATATGGTATGCAGTTGGTACCGAGAGGCAGGAAAAAAAATTTCTCAAAAAATATTGAAAATGTATCTCATTTTGTAGAGCACAACAAACACTTTCAATCTGTGCAAAAAAAAAATATTAAAATCCGAGTTAAACGAAGAAGATATGAGCCGATTAAGAAAGCTAGGAAAAATAAAAATGGTCTTTAATTCTTCATCCTTAGATCTGAATTTTCTAAATGAAGTGTCCAGATATAGTTATTAATGGGTGCATAACCCATGGTTATGTACTCTATCTTGAGCATGTAAAAGTTGCCCTTCACTTCAATTTCCCAAATTGCTACGGTTGATTTGTTGTCTTTGCTCATTAAGAATCCCTCTGCTCCTAGTTGTGTGGTTGCTCCGGCGAGTCTCTATGCTTCCGTGGTGACTGGTGCAACCGATTTTTCCAGTATAAGAATTGCAACCTGTAGCCTCAATAGACTAGGTATGTGCAAGCCTGCGTCTGCTAGTAGCAACATGATTTCCTTCGATCATGAGCTACTCTCGCCAACCTCTAATGATCAATGGCCTTTTGGTTTATTTTATAGAGGACCGGCAGGAGGATTCGTTGATGGAGAAACGCTAAACCGATCAGGGATTTTGAATTCAGAACGGATAGTCTAAATGCTGAGTCTTAAATCCTAAGGTATCAAGTCTTTTATTACTTCAACAACCAATCAGGGGTGGAGCTACTGCTGCCCTCAGGGGGCATCGGTCCCGCCCCCTCCCCCGAGAATTTCGAAAATTACGTGTAAAGTATGTCGGTATTTTGAATTTTCGTATTAACTAAAGCCATTAGCAAAAGACTATTGTGTGCGTCAAAAATACTAGAAGGTAAGCTAATTCAGCGGTTGGGAACTTTATAATTTTCCTCAGCAACGCGGGTTCCCCAGCAAGGACTGAAATGTTAGTTTTTGTTCCATTTCACTACCAATAGTGTTCCTTTTCACTACTAATAGTTACTCGATTAATTTTTATATTATGATTCTTATAAGTTTTAGCATGTATCAATAATTAGTAAGATTCATTTTTATCTTATGAATTCAAGTTCCTTTTAATTTATAATTTAAATTTTATGTTCCAATAATTATCCATTCAACTTTTATCTTATATGTTGATGTCTTAATTTTGTCAATTTCAATATGATTCCTTAAGCCCTTTAATTTCAAGTTTCAAATGTTAAAGAATACTTTCGGGTGAGTAATTCAAATTCTTTATAAAATACTAGACATTGATTTTCAAGTATGAAAATAGAATGTGTTGCACAACATATTAATTTGTTGATATTTTCAATATATATTGTAGCACGATAGAAAATTTAAGTTTATATCTTACTTTGAGTAACTCTAATCATCTAAAATTATGATCATAATCCATATAAAAAAATTATGATAACAATAATAATAATAAATATTTTTTAATTTAATGTCTTCTCAAGGTTACAAAATAAATTCTCCCCCCCCCCCAACGCTGAATTCTAGCTCCGCCCCTACAACCAATTGTGTAGAAATAATTGACGCTCTTTATGCCTTTGATACAATTAAATGCTCATAATTTGCATTACAATATCGAGTAAATATTATATAAAAATAGTAACTAATAGTACTATTTCAAAAACATTATTTATTTTTTGACCTGAGATTTGGATTACCTTATGGTTGATTGATGTCAAACCGCAGATCAACTATTCATATGCCTACCCTTAAATGATTTTTTTTTTGTATAAGGATGCTATTAGTTGGGTGCTAGCACAAGAGGGAATCCGTTTCATTGGCAAAATCTTCGACTACTGCCCATTATTCCCAAAATATTGTATTTTTTTTTAATTTTCCACCAATTTGACGGTTTTAAAAGTATTGAATAACAGCAAGTTCGCGCTACACTCGGGCGAACCCACTTTTTGAGCTTTTGAATTTGTAACTGGCAGACCAGCTTGAGTTTGAGGCGTATGTTTTAAAATATAGGAAGTGGCACCTGTGACTTGGGCGTACCCACCTCCATTATTATTTTTCTCGTGCTCCTGCGCCCTCCTCTTATCTTCTTCTTCTTCTTCTTCTTCTTCTCCAAACAAACCACGACCGCTCATTTCCTCGTTCCAGCGGACCCGCCAGACCACCAGAGCATAGGCCGAAGACGCAGCGGCTTCACCACGGCCTCAAGTGGACCCGTCGGAGACATGGCAGCCTTCACCTAAGTCCCAAGCGAATTCGCTGGCAGTTTTCTTCTTCCCTCGTGCAGAGAGCATATCTGGTTGGTTTTGGTTTTGCCAAGGATTTCTACATCGACGAGGAAGCGGTCACCGGCAGAGGAAGGGGGAAATGGCGGCGAGCTCGTGGCAGCAGCGACCGGTACTGAGGTGAGGATTCTCTCCGGCGACGAGTTTTATTATGTTTTGATTATTATTTTTTTATTGCTTTTTCAGTTCCTAGGCTTATGGACAGTTATTCCATGAGACCACCACCTATGACAAATGATCCAGTTCCGGTCGATTTGGTACTTCTTTGGGGACATGGTCAACATCGTGTCGACTCGGCTAGGGCAAAGAAGTAAGTCTTTTATAACAACTACTTCTTTAAAGTTCATTAGCTAGTTAGAATTAGAATTACTAGATTTTACTAGGTGAACCAAAATTAGAATTACGCATGAAATTGAACTAATATAAGTTTTGTGCACTATAGGGTGGTGATCGACCTTACCATATTTGAGGTACAACCCATTTAATCACGCATCATCCACATTATATGACGTACCTTGTAGAGGCGGGCTTGTCTAGTGTTCTGCAATTGGTCCCTATGACTGCTGATGAAAGTTTGATTATTGCGCTCTAAAGCGTTGTTGACCTGAGACATCGACGTTCCACTTGCCGTTTGGTGAGGTTACGATCACTTTAGTGGACGTTGAGACCGGTCTAG